CTCGGGCCAGTATCCTATACTCAGATATCCCTAGATGATCAGCCAACATAAACATCACCTACATTCGTAGGACATGACATCAGCCATTATAAGTAGAGGGCCCTTTTCACAGACGTTATCTTTGAGCTTTTAAGCCATTATGCACAGCCTTGCTACCAGCGCTTGTCGATATGCCGAGACCGCGATACCCCGAATCCAGGATAGTAGGCGGTCTACGAGCCACCCAAGACAATAAAGGGACCCATGCATCCAGGTCTTTAGCCATTGAGACTGTGAGAAGTAAGATATTCCTTGACGAGACCCGAGTAGTCAAACACCCAGCAGGTATAATATTGTTTCCCCTAAAACCAAGGCTGGGAGGAAAGCCTGCAGAAGATATTGGATACCCTAGATTGGTTCAGGCAGCTAATAAGACTCCATTCGAGAGGGCAATTATATCTTGCTGCCCAAGGAGACACAGACATGCGTCAATGAGAAGCCTTGGCCAGAGGCCTAGTCACTGAAACTCGGACTCTTGTATCCAGGAAGCTGGGCTCCAGAGATCTGGCCGTTTCCAGCATCAACCGTACTTTGATCCTGTTTGCCAAGTTCGCTGACGACCGTGACGGTCGCCCCCTGTGTCTGAAAGATCATGGCAATCTCAATCCACTAAGTCGCTTGATCTATTGCTGTGACGCTGTCCTGTTGGAAGGATCATCATCAAGCTCCGGCTTCGCGGCCGAACGTGCAGCCCATAATGGCACATAGATCTGAATCCTAATAATGCACCTCATTCACTATTGTAGGGAGGGAGCAGCATATTCAGGCAACCTAAGGTTCTAATACATTGGAACTCTTGGCTGGTTCTTACTGAGGTGGCTCCCAAAGACGTCGTATGTAACTCGGCTTTTCCCATTGCATACATGTCTCTGGGTGGACTGTTTATCGCTATTGAGCTTACAGACAAGCGAACAAGGGTTTCCAAACCAGCGTTCGATGGAAGTCCCCGAGAAATAAAGGAGTTAGCTGATTGCTTGTGTAGAAAGCGTCGTTTCCGGTAAGGCGACTCGTGGCATGGCCTTGATGTTATGTTTCTTCATCTCAACTGCCCACAGAGAGCTCAGTCTTCTTCATCTTGCTGATACTATTAATAGCCATCACGACTATCGCAATAGGGATCAGTGGCATGGCGATCAGACACGCTGCCTTGGCATGATTGCGAACAGTAGAGCGGTTCCAATTCTACATCTGTCCAAAGGAGTAGCTTGGCGCCAACGCATCCTGCTCTTCGTAACTTAGGCAATAGGAGCTCTGAAGGTGTTTACATTACTGTGCTTTGCAACTTGGCCATGCTCGCGTATGTACTGTATGCTCAAGTGGCCTTGGGGTCGGGAAGTCCACTCAGTGTCTGGCTTTCACGCCGATGTATCTTCTCATTGTCTTCCTTGACTTCGATGTTATTTTTGACAAACCTCTTCCAGCGGCGTGTTACAATAGATACAAGGTACTGGAATGCCATGGCTAGTCAGTTGCAGCTGGCCGTATTAAGTTCATTTAGCCCAGGATAGTCCGTCATATGCTTCAGTATCGGCCGCGAAAATGTCATGTTTGACCCTAGTATAGCAGCCAATGAGTCGACAAATCATCTCAATAGCCATTTTGCAGCTATATAGAGATTTATACTTGCGTGAGTTGTGCAGGGAAGTCCGTTTGCTCCACGATTAAAACGCTGTCAATGCTTCATTCACAATTTGTAACTACGCACAAGGCTTTCATTGCAGAATCATCAGAACAATCCCGAGTATATAGGCTGACCTTGCCCTTCATTTATCTTTTATACTTGATAACGAAGAGCGCGATAACTACTCAATCGAAGACCGCCGAGCTGGGTCCTAGAGAATCTCTGCAGTGGCCAGGAAGCGAAGTCTGCGACAGGTTCCAGACATATCATACCTTATGCGGTCCACGGTATAACTGTGATGAGGATATTACTGCCTGATCGCCGAATTGTAGACGGGCCAGAACGCCACCCTTCGTCGAAGCGAACTTGATCTGGAGGTCTCGCGAGAGGATGTATGGGCACAGGGGGATGCTTGTGTGACCGCTCACAAGATCACAGCGTCCAATGTGGCCTATAGCACGGGCAAAGCAAACGTATCAGGTATTGGTGTCAACACTACATCATGAGGCTGGATAGACTTAGGTCTGATGATTGAGAATCTGATTAGGGTGGAGTAAATGTATCTCGCCGAGTTCATTACTCCAGCAATGTTCGCCCAGATCGACGCCAAGTTCCCGAGATTCAGGCCTATGTTTGAAGCAGAGTTGGCATATCATGACATCTGCAACCCCGTAAGGGACAGGCCCCGCTCGACAGAACGTCTTATCAACAGGATACGACCTCCCTCCTGCAGCTGGGTAGAAGGTTTTTTCAGTGAGAACGTTGATTGCCCCGATGTTTATGGTCCTTCTCTCTATGCCGGCTTCGTTGATGTTCACGGCCCAGACCGAGACCCCATGGAAACAACAGGTTATTTGTCAGATGACTCACACGAAAGATGGCAACGACAGTCGGGAGATGTCCGAGATGCACTCTCGTATTGTCTGCGGCTCCTCGCTGAAGAGGCACCGGAGGAATTTGAGGCTCAGGTATACAAGACCTTGCCCCACTGGGTTGGCAGGTACCATCCGCGAGAGTTTCTTGGGCTCAAATTCAATCTTTGGGATATTCCATCAAGGGACGATGTTGCCCATGCATTGGATCTATTCAATATTCCCGATTTTGTGTGGAAGCTCCCTGACATGTGGTCATATCCACACAGGTTCTACCTGGAACTTGGCGATGGCCCCGATAATCCACGGCCAGAAAACGCCGAAAGATGTCAATACGATGCCGAATATGATAATCCCATGAGGATGGTCGATCATTTTGATTATCGCCATCGCTATAAAATAAGATTCTCTGCTACCGCTACAGCAATACGTTTCTTGAACAGGTTGCCTGCTGAGCAGTGAACACAGATCCGCAGGATCACTTTGCATGAAGACGCGCCATCAGTCAACATGTCGTCACTCCACGCCCCGGGCTTGGTCCCTTTGTACAAAGAGAACCCGCGACTACAGGTGGAGCGCCGTGTCAGTGTTTTTGGCTGTATCCATAGCTGGGCGGGAGCCGACAAGGAATGGATGACTCGGGATAAACCTAGAAGTCTTTATGGGCCCACATTCCTCTTGGATCTACAATCCTGGCTCATTGACGCCCTCTCAATGCAAGACTTGGGTATCCCCTCAGGTTCATTCATCTTTACTTTATGGGCTGGATCCTATGGCGACTTTTGTACCGACCTCTTTCAACGGTGCGTTCACATGGCCCTTGCAGAGGGCCCAGCATTCGATAAATGCTGCGAACTTGACCTCTTCGGATCTTCTACACATCAGCTGTCCGCCACACCGGATAAGTTCTTCTTCGACCCCAGATTCAGGGAGGCGGTTGAGCACTTGCTTAAGAAGCCGTCGATTTTGCGCTCGGACTTTCACCCTGGGGTTCCGGTAGACCCCAACGTATTGGTGGAGGAAACTCAGGGGATGGAAGATGTGGGACGCCGTTTTTCCAAGTGGGACTATCACACACGAAACTTTGGCTGCACAATTCCCTCTGATCTATACTACGATTTCATTTTACCTCCTCAGTTCGAATTCCAGAGCAAGGAGCAGTATATCGAGTCACAGGGAGGAAGGGTCAAGGAACAAGACTCGTAACCAAAATGGACTTCAAATGGTCATTGGTGTGGATAAGGTATACATAGGCGGCCCCGAAACAGGTTGTCTGTGATAGAGAACTTGGGTCAAGACAAGGGAGGATGTCTCATATACAGAGAATTGAATCCAATATACAGAGTACCGAGGATCTACGCAGAATCTCATTTGCATCTACATGCAGCATCTCCATCATCCATTTGTCTGTGCGGGAGACCGCGTGGTACTGAGGCCTATGTATTGTCAATACTACATGTTAGTCTTTAAAGACTAGACGAGTATTCACAAGCTCTTTCAGGTCTTGTAAAAGCGGCAAATGCCTCAGCTCTTTCAGGTGTTGTGACATCAGATGAGTAGTCCCTGACTCTGTAGAGTTGGTGGAAAGCGTACAAATCATTGCTGGTTTTTGAAGATGCAGGCCTTGGTCCTAGCCTCATTGCGAAAAGAGATTGATAGCACAGTGACCCATTGAAGTGTCGGCATCCGTCGATCTTGTGCAGCTGAAGCATGGCCTGTTCAATCGAGGCTGTTTGGTGACATCGTAGCCCGACGCCCATGATCTCACCACGATAGTCATTCAGAACCTCTATTTAAGTCCCTCAACCGTTGTGTGTATCCTTCATGGGAATCTCTTCATTGGAATTCCGTCTCGAGAGTATAATTGAGCTGCCAAGTAACGACGCGGTTCCGAGACTCGGAACTGATGACGCAGATGTGAACACACAAACTATTCGATGTAGCGTACCATGTCAGCCAAAAGAATTGGTCTTGTGCTCGTCGTGTGCAGATGCTGGAGTGTCTCATTGCCAATTGATGTTTGAGCAGCTGATTGCGCGACGAGAGCACAACAGGACGGTTCAGCTGTCAAACACCACTACTCAGGGGCTTGCTGCCCTCTATTTTAAGTAGCCCGTTGAGTCTTGTGTACTACATCTCATTATCGCCATCCTCGCAGCCATCAGCGTTGAGGACATCACCAGTAACTCAGAGCTGCGCATTTGACACACGGAATAATAACGCAGCTCTAGATTGGGGATAAGACTGTGTATACATTCCCTTACAAGCCATGCGACATGTTCAAATGTGAGAGGCAAAGGATTAGGCCTTCAGCTCGACGTGCGCTGTTGTCATTCCTGTAGCGATTGAAGCGAACAGAGCGGGAACGAGGACATCATAACAGGGCATCCCAACGAGAAACTGAGCTTTTCTGAGCATAGACATACTCAATCAATGACCCGTAACCAGTTATCGCTCACTTAATCACATTATATTCATTATTGTGGAAGTTGGACGACTCTTCATCGATACGTAGACGGGCTTGAGATGCAGGGCTGCCACTCAGCCGTATTAGCAGCAATAACGCTATTTTTGTTTAGATAACGACATATAATTAAATTCCAGACTCAAGGGATTGATACTATGCTCATAAGCCTAGCAATTTCTGCCGTTTTCTGTTTTGGGCCTTTGGTGTTGACTGCTTCGTCGCGAGCATGGTGAATCCACGCAGATGCTTAACTGTAAGTCCGCGATCCTGACAGCAACAAGGTCTTTATAGAGTATTCCCGGCTGAATTCCGATAAATTAATAATTTTAGATTGATCTGCCGGCAATAATAGATGCAGTTTCTGCGGTATGACACCGTGCGGTAATGATCTTTTGGGTACACAGTCGCAGACTGTTCGCTTGCATTTCCGCGATGATGACTACCATAATGCTTCTGAGGCCTCAACAATTAGATCAAACATGCAAGATTGCGTTACAATTTTGACTGCTTGCACTGAGGCCCGTTCTTTCTGTAGTGTGCTGCTCTACGACAACGCTTTCTTCAATGGGCCGTCGCAGACTCTGGGCTTGAGACGCCAGTGATACCGCCAGCAACAACGCACTTGTATCTTGCATTAACTCGCTCGCCGCGAGACAAAGCCTTTCTTATTAGGTCCATTGCTATCAAGCAATGTATTCTCGAGTTCTGGAGCTCTGCGACAGCGTTGTCCTGGTCAGCGATCGCCGACTGCGGGGACGAAACTCGGCGATAATGGCGGCGCCAATGCCTTTCCAACTCAAATCAAGATCGTATAGGCAATAATAGACTCTATTTAAAAATGTAGTACTATCAGTTATTGCAGTTTATGCCATTTGTGGCTTTGCGATACGCGTCTGGTCTTGCGGTTGAACACCTGTCGTCAATTGCTTAATCGCAACTACACAATTGCGACCACAACAGTACATTCATGGCTCTGATTAATGTCTTTCCTATCTTAATGGGCTCTGATAATTGAATGGACTCTATAATATTGTAGTATTTATGTCATTTGTGACTTTGCGACACGTCCTTGAGTCTTGAGAGTCGGACACCAAACCGTCCTTTCGAAACACGTCAACAATCACAGTTCCAACACAAATACAATTGAAACAGAGTGTACTACCGGTGTAAAAAGCTTTAGCGATACTTTTAGCAATCTTATTTCTCACTATTCGCTTGAGTTGTGGCTCTGCGACGCATCCTTCTGTTGGCCAGATCGATCGACGACAGAGCGGACAACAGGGTAGGCAGTCGCAGAATCTCGATTTGCTTTTCGACGATATTCACGCCAATAATGCTTCTATTGATCTGATAATAGTCTTTAATGAAATTTGAGACTTGAGCGACCCAGGAAATGCTATTTTAGCATGGTATTTCGGAGGTTTGGGATTTTGTGATTTTGGGCATTTGCGTCTTGGATTGGTGTACTGTCGTAGACTGGACTGTAACTCGGCGATAACGAGAGCAACAAGCAGGCTGCGGCCCTGAAAACACTGTCGCTACTAAAAAGGATGTTGGAGATTGATATAAAGGTATTGAAACCTATATAGCTTTCGATTTGCAGGTTTGGGAGGGTACTTTCATGTCTAGGCATGAAGCGCTGCGTCACGATTGAGCCAACTAGACGAGATATCTCCCCAAGAAACCGGCTGTCTATACATAATGGTGATGGAAATCAGGCAGTATCATTTGATCTCCAATAAAGTCTCTTAAAGGCCTTCTCTAGTTAAGTCATGAACGCGAAATGTAGCTCTGCGGATTGTTGCTGGGCAGACCCGGTTGACCAAACAGGTCAGCTTCAATTCTACACCGATCATTACTGGTAGGAGTCTATATCTATCAATCTTCAGATGCTTCTCCTGTCCTGCCGACTTGGTCGGGTTGCATTTGCTATACGCAATGCTCTCACATCCCGACACCAACAGTTATATCGCGCTCACCAGAGACGACGACCCTTCCGGCCTGCTGTTCTAATCTTGGGGAAAGTCTTCATATAACCACGGGTCATCAAGCAGTTCTCTTGCAATACTTCTCTCCTCTGGACTCCGCCTCACCATTCTCTTGATGAATCGAATAAACCTCAGCTTCTCCTCGCCGCCCAAGCAACCAATGGTATTCTCAAAGCTGAAATCGCCAGGGGTTGGGACAAGTCCAGGATTCTTGAGCTCGCCTGGACACACACACGGGTTAGTGGCATCTGGTCGCTCAGGGTCCGCCTCACATACCGTCGAGTTTGTAGAACATGGAAGTTCTTTGGCCGCTAGACAGTAGACTCTGCGGTGGAGGTCCGATCAAGGCAGAAATCTGACCCAGGTGTGAGTGGTCATCACATTCATCGGCGTTGCCGGGGGCTGTGGGATTGAAAAGGCTCTGTAACGAGGGCACACATGTCATCTGGGCTTAACTGCTGGTGGCAATTCCACGACTGTGCCATGTATCTGCTAAGATCAGCAAGCTTAGTATGGAGTACTGAACATTCAGACACACTTTGCGAGGTCTTTCACTATATTGCACTGCCGCAATTTAGAGTCCGGCGGTTGCGCTATAGAGATGTTGCGCGTACATAGGACCAGCACAACCTGACGCCACCCATAGGAGTATCATATGACGCCGGCCTATGATCGCTCGGCCAGCGATGACCGTGAATGGTGGCTTCTGAGACGCGGATAGCCTGTATAGCCTTGCAAATGACCAGATACTAGACGTTTGGATAGGCTACTGGTCTCGGAAGACATGCAGTACAGAGGTTTCATTGGCTTCAATACAATCTGTATCACATCGCTATTTTGTTCCAAAGGACAAGTCTGTGAATGGCCGCGCAACAAACACCAGACTACAGTATACATCGAATGGCATGGGAGCATCCAGTATAGGATACCGCATAGGATAATCATAAGAAAGATGAATACACTCCAAACGTATCTCTGTAGACACTAACAATATAACATGACCCTTTTATTGAATGTTCTATAGATACCATTTTAGTGTGCATTGGTGTTGAATAGCAGACCATTGCATGCCTTACACACCAACATCTGGTCAATGGCTACCTCTCTAGTTCTGGGGTTTAATTCTCCGCAAACCACGGGTCGCATAGAATATCCTTGATCATGGGTCTTTTAGAAGGATCATACTGAAGGATCCGACGGACAAGTCTCTTGACCTTTTCTGCCTCTTCATCAGTCAAGTCCGGGTTTGTCAAGTCGAAGGCTTCCTCCATAGAAGTCTGTTCTAGCATGAGTGGCTCTTCACCCTCGCCAACGCCACCAAGCTGGCAGTTATAAAGCTTCCTGTCCTTTGTATAGTACCGCGAAGAGGTTTCCCAGCGGCTGTAGAGCTCATCAGGAAGCGGGCCAAGCTTTGCTTGGAGCTCAAGAATATGGTTATCATCTTCCTCGGTCCTGTGGTTGTATGCAGGAACACAGAAGAGAGGTTGGCCGGTGACGAGTTCAAAAACAAGACAACCAAAACTCCAGATGTCGAGAGACTTGTCTACCTCTCCCATGAGAACAAGCTCCGGCGCCCGTAGGCCGAGCGGCGTAATAGGCTTCTTGGGAGGATCGTTCAGAAAGTAGGCTACTCGTTGTAAGTCTCATCTCAACTAGAAACGGATCTGAAGAGAGGAGAATGGACTTACCACCACCCATATCAGATAGCTTGACCCGGAGGTTCTCGGAAACGCTCGCGTAGGGTGCTAATGGTTGAGCAAGGCAGAGATATCGCGGCGCCCATTTGTCTTGCTTGCCATCAAGTCTCTCTACAGGAGGCGAGATTGACTTTGCCTGGACGTTTTCTTCCTGGCGGAGGGACGCCTCGTCAAGGGAATCGATAGACTGGACTGAGAATAGAATATTGCCGGGCTGAAAATCTCCATGCGCAACACCATTCTCATGAAGGAATTCCAACCCCTGCAAAGATTGCAGGAGGATGCGTTTCGCTATCTGAGGGGGGTAGCGAATCTTCATTCCATATTTGCGTGGTTTGAACTGGGGCAACTCGTATACCATAGAGTTGACAGATGGGCCCATAGGTTCAAAGACAAGGCACTTGTGGATGCCGTTTGGGCCTTTGTGCTCAAAGTCTGTAAGAAGTTGAGTAACATGCCCAATCCTATCCTGGGACCCAACCTTGGCAAGATGGTGCAAGACATGCAACTCGTGGCTGGTCTCTTCTGTAGTCTCTGAGATAAGAATCTTGAGGGCAACGTAGCGAGAGTTTCTAAGAATATTATAAGCTGGTGGTGACTAATATGAAGGATAGTATTAATTAGCTAACCTCAGGTCATGTGCAAGCCAGACAGTTGAGTAGGCACCCTCTCCAAGCTTCCGGATCACCTTGAACTGGCCATCATTGAATAAATCACCGAGGTGTACAGGATGGAATCCGCCTGGGCGGTAGTCCTCTATCCATTCGCAAGGCGACGTAATATCCTTGAATCGGCGCTCTTGGTCACCTGGTGCCCTCGAAGGCGGGGTTGGCGGAGGTGATGTGCTCATGGCTTTTCTGTGCAAAACAGTAGAGAGTTGTGCAGAAAAACAAGAAGAGCTCAGAGGGGCGTTTGATTGATTTTCCAAGGATCATTGAAAGTTGGAAGTTGATGAACAAAGCGTAAGAATCTAGCACTGGGCGAAGCAGGCAACGCATTTTGACTTGATACTTGCATGACTAAGGTGCCGTCGCGTTATTGGTCCAGTCAGCCCTGCCACGGGAGGCTGCACGCGCTGTTTGTTGTGTAAGTTAGGACTATAACTATCAGCTTTTGGTGAATGACAAATCTTGTTTCAAGCAATGGTTGGCACACCAGCAGAAGTGACAGTCGCAATCATTGTACTGTGGACTTGTACGATGCTGCCGGTAACCCTATGAGCCGCGAACATATTGTCTAACTTGGTCGTTAAAACAGTTGGATAAATTGTTAAGGAATCGTATGTCGTGCGTGTCTTGCACCTGACAAATCTAATGATATATATTCAATAAATACATTCTGTTGGTATTTGGAGTATGAGGACGTTTCACCTACACCACAAAGTGCAGAGAATAAATGTCTAAAGCCATACATGTTATAGAAACAAACTCGATCATTCACGCTAAATTCATCCAACTATTGGCTACCATATGAGAGATACGACTACATGCAATGGCGCGCGAGGCGGTGCCTAGCCTCCTTAAAAACACTTTCATTGTCCTTATCTGGCGGCACTAGATGAGGTTACCAAAACCCAAAGTCAAGGTGAAATCTTCTTCGTGTTGTGGGCTATAGGTGAGAATGCTTTTTCTTTGGTTGCACTCTTGCAGTTATACTACCTTCAAACCAGAACATTAAGCTCAGTTGGTATCGTTAATAGCATTGGCTGCCGTTACCAAGCACTATTTGGCTTTGAGTGAACAGGAATGTTGCGGTTTCGGCGCTATTTTCTCTCCTGATATATACAGCACTTGAAGGTATGACGTTAACGAAACAAGTACAAACATCGCTAACAAGATATAGAGACCCGAGTTCTGGGCTTGGCTCTCGGCCAAGTTGGTAAACAAGATATTGCTGATGCTCAAAGGCTAACTCAAGAAGCTCTCTTAGAAATTGAGCCGATTGACATATAGGCCGGGTTACAGATAACATGACCTTACATCTTAAGGCCTGCGTTGAGAATACCTCGTGAGGCGCCCTTGTCAACCTAAATGCATTCTTTTACTGACTGCATGGTTTCTAGGCCTTCCGAAGCCTGTAGAGATATGGCCATATTCAATTTTGAGAAGTGTAGCCTTGAATTAAAAGTCCAAAACAACATATGGAACCTAAAACGTGATGGTTCGGGCTGTGCAAAGACTCCTGTCTCTGAGCTGTTGGCCGCCCACATGAACTCAGTTTAGAGCAATGAGCCAATTGTAGAGTCTCCAAAAAGCACGATTTCCATTCAGATAAGGAACAGGACTGAAGCTCAAAATGAAGGCATCGAGCGTAACGTCCCGCCGGTAAGTTGACAGCCGACGACTGCCAGTCCTTTGGAGCGAGTCCGCGACTCACAGAGCCACAGCGAGTCCTTTTGCAAGAGACTCTTATTAAATCGATAGGCTGGGAACTCAGGAGTGAACAACCAGCAGTAGTCAGATACAAAGACTTGTCATTTTAGGGGAGAAATTATAACTAAAAAGTCAGAGAATAAAGGCACTCAATAACCCCCTAGTCCCTTCAGGGCTTCTTCCTGGCTTCACAGTGACGCCGGCCTATGGACTCATCACTCGTCCTGCGTACCCGCGATAGAAGTTAAGAAATTATCAACCCCAACCCAGGAGAAAATACTGTCAGCCACTTCTTTATCCAGTCTCGCAGTTTCCTCAAAGGAGTTGCGAATGAATTCCATATGGTCTGCTTCTTGGTCTTCATTTTTGGGCCATTCGCGCGTCAACCTCTCTCTTTCCATGCAGCGGTAGTGTTTCCCAAAGAGTCGGCTAAATTCCACGTTGTAAGGGAGCTCCACAAGTCGGTGCTTGTCGAACCTATAGAGATTGATGTCCAGGTTCCGCTGTGCAGCTGTCCCGGCCCATTTTAGTCCACTGTGGCCAGGACTCATTATATAGTCGCAGTACCTATTCTCAGTCAAGAACTGCATATTACCACCATGCGTTATGACCACGATTCTTGCTGGACCAGGTCGCTGGGCCTCTTGATGCTTCTTTAGGGCCTGTGCCGCTAGCTCTTGCAGCCACTGGCGGGCATCCTGTACGCGTTTTTTTAAAGACTCCTTTGAAGGGGCTTCGAGGGGAGGAGTTGAAGGAGGGCTCCAAGAGGACCCGTCGAACAATGAACACCCAGCGGTGTTGATAAGCTCCTCTTTGACAATCTTTCCGGGATCCGTGTTGCCGCCAGAAAGCATGATATACCTTCGGTACCCTTTGTCGTCAGTGCAAGCCTCGAAATCCTGAGGCCACCCAGTAAGTTCGCTCAGTCCTGGATGGCAGAGTATTCCCCCTTCATCCACCATATCTAAGGCGTCCATCAAGAGCTGTGCCGTCTGGATTGCTCTTGATAGTGGGGAGCACGCGACGTAGTACACATTAGGAATCCGTCCTTCGTTAGCTTTGATGGCGAGTTGGACGAAGTCTCTGGCTTGGCTAATTCCGAATTGTGTGAGGCCATCTGGAAGGAAGTCGCCAGTCCTAAACTTTATGTCTGGTTCTATGTTTTGGCTTAAACGCTCGGATACTGCTCGGAGCTGGGAAATTGTGAGCTCGCAGCCACCAATTCCGTTGTTGTCATCCAATACGTTCGATACAGCCTCTGCGTGTCGTATGAGGACTACTTCGACATAGGGGATGTTCTGTGTCCCCGAAGAATAAATTAGTATTCGTTTCAACACTTGAAATGGTGGCCCTGTATCTTACCTCCATTCTCTACAACAATCTTTCTAATAAAGCCCTGGCAGGAGATGAAGATGTGGACAAGGTACCTTGGGAGAAAGGGTTGAGGAGATTAATTATACCAGACAGAGTCGAGGGGTTGGGCGCTGCTGTTATATACTCGATCCGCCCGCCACGTTGCCGCATGCACGTAACGTTATGCCAAATGAGGGGCAGAGCATAACCTGCACCTCTGAGGTGGTATACACTACCGATATAATATCACCAATCGGCATGCTTGACGTCAGATAGCTCAATACATTCTTCTGACCGCTCAGGAAGCACAAGTCAAGGAAATTGCAATATGCATGGTAGGCCTCAATATAGAAGATGTCGTCATCCTTTCGCAACCAAGTCCTACTGCATGGATCCCCGCTCAGCTTGGGGATTTGCGTGACGTTCTAGTCGCAGAATCTTAAATTGGGGCTATCCCCTCGCAGCAACTACCAATAGATAATAAAAATGATATTCGACGCGTCGACCTCGTGGGCAGAAGGCCAATAAGAAGAGACATTGACACGCAACTTACCGCTTGACCGTAAGTATCCGAAACTAATATGTTACTCCCTCTATCCTGTCTAAACAATCTAGAATCACTGCCAAGTTAGTCTCTTCACAGCTGAGCCGGAATTCAATCCTGTTGCTCATCGTGATCATGCTTATTTCCACTGATGTTTTTAACTGGTTGCTCGTAAGCGAGCCGGGGTTCCGGATCGGCCCGCTGTAAGTGCGTCGACGCAAACAGATACGAGTCGGTTTCGTACAATGCTTGAAAAGGTAAACGCCTATTCAGCATTGCCCAAATAATTGTTGAGCGTCGCTCTGGTATTCGAACAAGATACCAACCAACACAAAAGCCACCAAGTTCATCCTTGAATATATTACGCGATCGATGCGTTCCAGCGGGACGTAGACCCAAGTCACTGACTATTGCTCAGTACGACGAATTCTCTTGGATATCGCACGAGTCCAAGGTATAGTCAGGCGCATCACTGGTAGCATATCTGCCGTTTCTGTAATCATGACCAGGCCACCACGCTTCCAGGCTGAGACTGTCTGTAGTGGAAGCGACAAAAGGTGAAGCGATGGGGAATCTTTGGTCCAGCCCAGACACCTTTCGAAACCGCTGGCTCATACTTGCGTCTCAATAGCTGCGAATTATGCTTAGTATTTCTTTAGGTAGCTTTCTCATGCTGGAGATGTTCAAGGCTTCGAAGACTGATCCGCCCGTTTTTGTGACTGTATCTCTTGGATGAAAGCAAGGTGCTTGATACCACAGAGCTCGCCATGCAGCAACTATCCACCAGTAAGGTAGTCCAGATAATCACTTGCATCGCAACTTGGCTTTCGACACAGGAGCACGCCGTTGTTATCTATCTCGAACTCCATGGTCATAGTCAGGGAAACTGTAACTGTATGGGCCGGGCCGATGGGAAAAGGCGGTTGCACAAATTCACATTGTTCAGACACCTTCATTGAGCCGCCGCAAAGGCCGCACGCAGTACGGACCAAGCCTCGCATAATGATCATTTGTCGAGGGTACCACTCATTCTATCTCACTACTCTCAACAATAATCCACCGCTACTCTTCTCCCGTTTTTATTCCTCATCAGCCACCAAACCGTCTGAACCACTGACCTATAGTGAGAGCTCAGGGGATGTTGGAGTGATTTTTCAAAGGATCATCGAAAGTTGGAAGTTAATAAATAAAGCATAAAATTCTGACACTGGTTGGCACCTAAACTGAAATTCCGCAAAGATGTTACCGCCTGAGGCCGCCACCCAACCTAAATAATCTCATCTGCCTCAGTTGCTTCACTACCTTGCTAAGGTACCTAGCTAACACGTTGGCTGGAAGTGTCTAGGCCGGTAGCTGAGCAGGCTTCTTGCCAACATCCCAGCCAACGCACGCCAAAGAGACGTGAGCACTATGCAGCTCCACCAAAGGACACGCAAGTCAATCAAGCCGAGGGATTGGAGCCTTTTATACGCCTCCCAGGCCGGCCAAGGAGTCATAATTTAGGTTATTATCATATCAGCTTTATGCTGTAGCCATTGGTCAGTCATCGTGGTATCGATGTCTAAGTTGTGGGCTAGAAGT